AAATTATCCCCCACAAAGAATAGCTTTGCAGGGCCTTTTCAAAATACAGCAAAGAAACATGTTTTGGGGTAAAATATTTTTATTTTTTTCCTTGTCTCATAATGGTATACCAAAGTCAGGTTGTAAAGTAAATCATGATATATAGAGTTAAATAAAACCCATCTGCTGAGAATTTATGATTTGTAGGCCATGACTTCCAAGGCCCCTTAGACAGGAATTTAAGCAAGATAAAAAAAATCAGAGTTTAGTCCTCAAATCACTACTTACTTTTCAAATTTGTCCTTGATTATCACCAAAATGTTCGCAGACAGGAGTATTTCTCCCACTTCTAAGTCTGTTTTTCCAAAACCAGTGAAAAATTTTTAACCAAATAACTGTAGTTTGTAGCCAAGTAGTGTCTTTCCAAGTGTCCCAACTGTTTAGTTACAGTTTCTAAGCATTAAGTACTTAAATAAGCTAAGCTAAGGACTCAATGAGAATGAAGACACAATGTACTAGAATCTCTGGGACACATTCAAAGCAGTGTTTAGAGGAAAATTTATAGCAATAAGTGCCCACATGAGAAGCAAGGAGAGATCTAAAATCAACACCTTATCATCAAAATTGAAAGAGCTAGAGGAGCAAGATCTCAAAAACTAGCAGAAGACAAGAAATAACTAAGCTCAGAGCAGAACTGAAGGAGACAGAGACACAAAAAAAAAACCTTCAAAAAAATCAATAAATAAAGAAGCTTTTTTTTGAAAAGATCAACAAAATAGACAGACCACTAACCAGATTAATAAAAAAGAAAAGAGAGTCCATCAGGGCCTCTATGGTAAAAAAAAAAAAAAAAAAAAAAGAAAGAAAGAAAAGAATCAAATAGATGCAATAAAAAAACGATAAAGGGGATATCACCATCGATTCCACAGAAATAAAAACTACCATCAGAGATTACTACAAACAACTCTATGCACATAAACCAGTAAACCTGGAAGAAACGGATAAATTCCTGGACACCTGCACCCTCCCAAGACTAAACAAGGAAAAAGTTGAAACCCTGAATAAATGAATAACAAGAGCTGAAGTTAAGGCAGCAATTAATAGCCTACTGACCAAAAAAGGCCCAGGTCCAGATGGGTTCACAGCCAAATTCTACCAGACATACAAAGAGGAGCTGGTACCACTCCTTCTGAAACTATTCCAAACAATCCAAAAAGAGGAAATCCTTCCCAAATCACTTTATGGGACCAACATCATCCTGATACCAAAACCTGTCAGAGACTCAGCAAAAAGAGATAACTTCAGGCCAATATCCATGATGAATATAGATGCAAAAATCTTCAGTAAAATACTGGAAAATCGAACACAACAGCACATAAAAAAGTTTATCCATCACTATCAAGTAGGCTTCATCCCAGGGATGCAAGGCTGGTTCAACATATGCAAGTCTGTAAACATAATTCACCACATAAACAACACCAATGACAAAAATCTCATTATTATCTCAATAGATGCAGAGAAGGCCTTCGACAAAATTCAACAGCGCTTTATGCTAAAAACTCTCAATAAACTAGGTATTGACGGACCATATGTCAAAATAATACAGGCTACTTACAACAAACCCACAGCCAATATCATACTGAATGGGCAAAAACTGGAAGCATTCCCTTTGAAATCTGGCACTAGACAAGGATGCCTTCTCTCATCATTCCTATTCAACATAGTATTGGAAGTTCTAGCCAGAGCAATCAGGCAAGAAAAAGAAATAAAGGGTATTCAATTAGCAAAGGAGGAAGTCAAATTGTCTCTATTTGCAGACGACATGATTGTATATTTAGAAGACCCCATCATCTCAGCCCAAAATCTCCTGAAACTGATAAGCAACTTCAGCAACGTCTCAGGATACAAAATCAATGTGCAGAAATCACAAGCATTCCTATACACCAATAACAGACTTAAAGAGAGCCAAATCAAGAATAAACTGCCATTCACAATTGCCACAAAAAGAATAAAATACCTAGGAATAAAATAACAGAGGATATACAGGACCTCTTCAAGGAGAACTACAAATCACTGCTCAACAAAATAAGAGAGGACACAAACAAATGGAAAAACATTCCATTCTCATGGTTAAGAAGAATCAATATCATGAAAATGGCCATACTGCCCAATGTAATTTATAAATTAAATGCTATCCCTATCAAGCTACCTATGACCCTCTTCACAGAACTGGAAAAAACCACCTTAAACATCATATGGAACCTAAAGAGACCCTGCATAGCCAAGACAATCCTAAGCAAAAAGAACAAAGCTGGAGTCATCAAGCTACCTGATTTCAAACTATACTACAAGGCTACAGTAAGCAATACAGCATGGTACTGGTACCAAAACAGGGATATAGACCAATGAAACAGAACAGAGGCCTCGGAGGCAATGCCACACATCTACAACCATCTTATCTTTAACAAACCTGACAAAAACAAGCAATGGGGAAAGGATTCCCTGTTTAGTAAATGGTGTTGGGAAAACTGGCTAGCCATGTGCAGAAAGAAGAAACTGCATCCCTTCCTGACATCTTACACTAAAATTAACTCCAGATAGATTAAAGACTTTAACATAAGACCTAACACCATAAAAACCCTAGAAGAAATCCTAGGCAAAGCCATTCAGGACATAGGCATAGGCAAGGACTTCATGACTAAAACACCAAAAGCATTGGTAACAAAAGCCAAAATAAACAAATGGGATCTAATTAAACTCCAGAGCTTCTGTATAGCAAAAGAAACAAGCATTAGAGTGAACCAGCAGCCAACAGAATGGGAAAAAATTTTGCAATCTACCCATCTGATAAAGGGCTAATATCCAGAATCTACAAAGAAAACAGTAGTCTGTAAAACAGAGTTACAAGAAAAAACAAGCAAACTCATTCAAAAGTGGGTGAAGGACATGAACAGACACTTCTCTTTTTTTTTTTTATTGCATTTTAGGTTTTGGGGTACATGTGAAGAACATGCAAGATTGTTGCATAGGTACACACGTGGCAGCGTGATTTGCGGCCTTCCTCCCCTTCACCTATATCTGGCATTTCTCCCCATGCTCTCTCTCCCCAACTCCCCATTCCCCACTGTCCCTTCCCTATTTTTCCCCAACAGACCCCAGTGTGTAGTGCTCCCCTCTCTGTGTCCATGTGTTCTCATTGTTCAACACCTGCCTATGAGTGAGAACATGCAGTGTTTGATTTTCTTGAACAGACGCTTTTCAAAAGAAGACATATATGAGGCCAACAAACATATGAAAAAATGCTCATCATCACTGGTTATTAGAGAAATGCAAATCAAAACCACATTGAGATATCATCTCACACCAGTTAAAATGGCAATCATTAAAAAATCTGGAGACAAAAGACGCTGGAGAAGATGTGGAGAAATAGAAACACTTTTACACTGTTGGTGGGAGTGTAAATTTGTTCAACCATTGTGGAAGACACTGTGGCGATTCCTCAAGGACCTAGAAATAGAAATTGCATTTTACTCAGCAATCCCATTACTGGGTATATATCTGAAGGATTATAAATCATTCTACTATAAAGACACATGCACATGTATGTTCATTTTGGCTCTGTTTCCAATAGCAAAGACCTGGAACCAATCCAAATGCCCATCAGTGATAGACTGGACAAGGAAAATGTGGCACATATGCACCATGGAATACTATGCAGCCATAAAAAAGATGAGTTCCTGTCCTTTGTAGGGACATGGATGAATGTGGAAACCATCGTTCTCAGCAAACTGACACAAGAATAGAAAATCAAACACCGCATGTTCTCACTCATAGGCTGATGTTGAACAATGAGAACACATAGACACAGGGAGGGGTGCATCACACACTGGGGTCTGTTGGGGGGGAATAAGGGAGGGACAGGGGAGGGGAAGGAGTTGGGAGGGATAACATGGGAGAAATGCCAGATATAGGTGATGGGGGATGGAGGCAGCAAACCACATTGCCTTGTATGTACCTGTGCAACAATCCTGCATGTTCTGCACGTGTACCCCAGAACCTAAAGTGCAATAAAATATATATATATATAATTTTTAAAAAAAGCTAAGGACTATCCTGTTTAATTTTTTTATCTTCAACTTAAACTTACATCCTTGTTTGAAATCGATTCCTTGCAACCTAAAAACAGTGCTAAAATATAAACAAATTTTTTTAAAAACCTTCGAAAAGAAATATAAATTTTAGAAAAGTCAATTGTATTCACTCAATTGTATTTGTTTAGAAATAATCAGATATAATACTTGTTTCTTGCACATTCTTGCCCTGTTTCCTCACCTGTGAAATGGAGATGATACTATCTACCTAACAAGATTGACCTAACATTTTTGTTAATTTCTGTATGTTAGCATTAGCTTCATATTTTTCACTATTTGTATTTAAACGAAGATATTTTTCTTCAAAAAAAATAAAAAGTGCTGGCTATTCTAGGAGTAATACTCATTCCAAATAAACATACAGTGATCTTTGAAGTGGTCAAGCACTAGATATTCCTGTAGAAAATTAATTTTTCTTTCATTTGGCATCGGATAAGCGTATGTTGGAATTGGTGTCTTCCCCTTTGGGAGAAGCTCAGTCCCTCCCCTAACAGAGTATTACTCCCCACTTTACAAGATTGTTTTAAGAATCAAGTGAGAAAATGTGTGTGTTTATGTCGGGGTTAAGAATTTAGAGCTCCAAGAATGATAATTACAGTAATACTGTTCATTAATTCAAAAACCATTTTTAAGGATCCTTCACTACTAAGGATGCATAAAAGTTGCTAACCCTCGGCCTTTGCCCAGCGTGAGAAGACAAAACAGGGAGTAAAAGACCAGAAACGCGTTCGAACCAATTCAGCTAGGAATTAAATTCTCAGATCCTTTATTACACCACCGGAGCCTTAACCTTGAGGCAAGCAGCAGTCTGTTCATGCGCAGTTAACGCTCCCTAAACTGCCATTGCTCAGCTCCGCGCCCAAGGTTCCTACTTGTGCGCCTGCGCCGTGACCTAGAGTGGGCGCATGCGCTGAGTGGAGCTGGCTGGTTTGAAAACCATGGCGTGGGTACCAGCCGAGTCCGCTGTGGAAGAGTTGATGCCTCGGCTATTACCGGTAGAGCCCTGCGACTTGACGGAAGCTTTCGATCCCTCGGTACCCCCGAGGACGCCTCAGGAATACCTGAGGCGGGTCCAGTGAGTGATTTGGCCCTGGGCGGGTGGGCTGGTCGTCTGCCCTGCCCCGGGGTACAGCCCCTGGTGCCCCGCTCGACCTGCGTTCTATAAAGTCCTGTTTCTTCCCGTTCCAGTCTCTTGCGAGTTCGGGTCTGTTCAGGATTCTGGATTACATTCTTACGTGGGCGAGTTTCTGTTTAACATGATTGAATGTACCAAGATGTGTGATCTTAGATTTGTTTTCAATCCAGATAATTTCAGAAATATATTCTTTAGTACGTCAAGTGGAAGTCTGAATTTTTTTTTTTAATTTCACAATCAACTATGGAAATGGATCGCTCGTTTTACTACACCTGAGCAAAGCACAATAGAAATTTAATTTCTTGCATTTATTACTTATTTGTAGGATCGAAGCAGCTCAGTGTCCAGATGTTGTGGTAGCTCAAATTGACCCAAAGAAGTTGAAAAGGAAGCAAAGTGTGAATATTTCTGTGAGTTATTAACCGTCTGGAGATTACCCCCAACCCCTCAATTAAAAGACTAAGGCTCTTCCTATAGTATCCGACAGTATCAATTATGGTGTAAGTAAGATTTGACTACTCCCTTCAAAGATAGACATTCGCTTGTACTTTTTCCTCCAGAAAGGCAACTGGCATTTACAGCCTCTGAAGAGGTTTTCTGTAACTCTAGCATTTGTGGAGCTTGCCCATCTTTCTTCAGGGACACTATCCAATCCTTTCAAAGGAGTCTTTAAATGGGTTACTTAGGCTATCTTCTATTTTTTCTTGTTTGTTTATAGAGAGGGAGTCTCTGTTGCCAGCTGGTCTGGAACTCCTGGCCTCAGGCTGTCTTCCCGCTTCTGCCTCCCAAAGTGTTAGGATTACAGGCTTCAGCCACTGTGCCTGACCCCTTTATTTATTTATTTTTTGAGACAGAGTCTTGCTCTGTCACCCAGGCTGGAGTGCAGCAGCAGGATCTCGGCTTACTGCAAACTCCTCCTCCCAGGTTCAAGCTATCCTCTTGCCTCAGCTTCCCAAGTAACTGGGATTACAGGTGCCTGCCACTACGCCTGGCTAATTTTTGTATTTTTAGTAGAGATGGAGTTTCACCATGTTGGCTAGGCTGGAACTCCTGAACTCAGGTGATCTGCCCACCTCGGCCTCACAAAGTGCTGGGATTACAGGCGTGAGCCACCGCACTGGGCCCTCCTTTTTTTTTTTTCCTAAGGAATCTTTTTCCAGTTACTAGATTGGTGTTTAATCCTATTGTGCTTTGTGTGTTCTGAATTTGATAAAGTTCCACTTTTTGTCAAAATAGAAACTCAGATATCTTACACTTTTACAGCTACTTGCACACTGTGGACATTTTCGTTTATTTATTTATCCAGCACATTTTTAATTAAGGGACTACGTTGTGCCAGGCACTGGGAATGTAACAGAGGATAAGATAAAAAAGGATCCTACCCTTGTAGACAGAGAGTAAACAGGCAAACAAATAATTACATGTTGTGACTATTGCTATGAAGAAAATAAGCATATGTAATAATCAATAAATGACAGAACTACTGTAGATAGAGGAATCACAGAAGGTCTTTCTTCCCTCCCCCCCCCCTTTTTTTTTGAGTCTTGCTTTTTCGCCCAGGCTGGAATGCAGTGGTGTGATCTTGGCTCACTGCAACCTCCACCTCCCGGGTTCAAGAGAGTCTCCTGCCTCAGCCTCCTGAGTAGCTGGGATTACAGGTGTGTGCTACCACACCTAGCTAATTTTTGTATTTTTAGTGGAGATGGGGTTTTACCATGTTGGCCAGGCTGGTCTTGAACTCCTGACCTCAAGTGATCTGCCTGCTTCAGCCTCCTAACGTGTTGGGATTACAGGCGTGAGCCACCACGCCTGGCCAGCGAAGGTCTCTCTAAGGAGGTGCTATTTAACCTAAGCTTAAAGGAGGTGGCATTTTAAATTGTTGATAGTAATTTCCTTTTCATGTTGAAAGTAATTTCTCTATCTGATATTTATAATCAGAAAATTTTAATTCAGACACTATAATGTTTCCTGTAATTCCTCTTCAGGATTTTTTAGTTGATTGATTTATTTTTTTGAGACAGAGTCTTGCTCTGTCACCCAGGCTGAAGTACAGTGGCACGGTCTCGGCTCATTAGTTGATAGACATTTAATGGAACAGAATGTCTTATATACCTAATTTGATAGATGGATGGATTGATTGAAACGGTATGTCTCTCTTTTTGTTTCTGTTTGATATTCTAGAAAGGCAGGTAGGACTAGATCATATCCTCTGGGCTAACGTCATTTAGATTTCATAGAAACTCCAAGTATAGGGCCGGGCGCGGTGGCTCAAGCATGTAATCCCAGCACTTTGGGAGGCCGAGGCGGGTGGATCACGAGGTCAAGAGATTGAGACCATCCTGGTCAACATGGTGAAACCCCGCCTCTACTAAAAATATAAAAAATTAGCTGGGCATGGTGGTGCGTGCCTGTAATCCCAGCTACTCAGGAGGCTGAGGCAGGAGAATTGCCTGAACCCAGGAGGTGGAGGGTGCGGTGAGCCGAGATCGTGCCATTGCACTCCAGCCTGGGTAACAAGAGTGAAACTCTGTCTCAAAAAAAAAGAAACTCCAAGTATAAGCCTTTCCAGATTTCTCTTATTAAATTGACTAAGGCTCTTTCCCTAATGTTTTTAACTGGGATATAAATAAATAGAAAAGTGAAATGTCTACTTTTTTACATCTGTAAGAAATATTTTCTTTCTTTCTTTTTTTTTTTTTTTTGCAACGGAATTTTGCTCTTGTTGCCCAGGCTGCGTGAAGTGGCATGATCTCAGTTCACTGCAGCCTCCACCTGCTGGGTTCAAACAATTCTCCTGCCTCAGCCTCCCTAGTAGCTGGGATTATAGGCACCCGCCACTATACCAGCTAACTTTTTGTAGAGACGGGGTTTCACTATGTTGGCCAGACTAGTCTCAAACTCCTGACCTCAGGCGATCCACTTGCCTCAGCCTCCCAAAGTGATGGAATACAGGCATCAGCCACTGCACCCGGCTGTATTTTATTTTTCTTGTCTAACCTTTATTATACACTTTATCTTGGTTTTACTTTTGCTTTGCAAAAGCATGAGATTCTAGTTTTGACACTAATATTAATCCTAGTATTTGTGACCTGATCTCTAGCTTTCAGGATGCCAACCCGCCCCTGAAGGTTATTCACCAACACTTCAGTGGCAACAGCAACAAGTGGCACAGTTTTCAACTGTTCGACAGGTAAAGTGTCATATTTAATCTAATTAAGCCCCTGTTGGATTTATTTCTATTCCTAGACTGTAGATAGAAAAATAAAATTTATGATCCTAAAGTATACAGAATATTCATGAATTACCAAGTTATTATAATTGTTAGACATAATACAGTTTGAAACATTGTATAAGTTTTATTTATTTTGTTTATTTCAATAGTTTTGGGGAACAGGTGAGTTTTGGTTACATGGTTGAGTTCTTTTGTAGTGATTTCTGAGCTTTTGGTGCACTCATCACCCAAGCAGTGTACTCTTTACCCAATAAGTAGACTTTTATACTTCACCCCCTCCCACCCTTCCCATTTTCCAAGTTTTAGATGGTTAAAATTTTGTGCAGAAACTGATTTCTTTTCAGTTACCCATTTTTTGAAGAGTACTAACGTATAACTTTTCTTCCTTTAGAATGTGAACAAACATAGAAGTCACTGGAAATCACAACAGTTGGATAGTAATGTGACCATGGTATGTAAGTTTCTCAGTTTTAAGTTGTACAATATATACTTGATTGAAAGAAACTACATTTACTTGCAGTCTTTAAAGATTCACTTCCTATTCAGTGTTATTTTCATTCTTTTCAATATACCATTAATAGTAGCAATTCCATTACATTAGTAGCCTGAAAAGTATAGATTTTCATGACAGTTTTTTTTTTTTTGAGACAGGGTCTTGCTGTATCTCCCAGGGTGAAGTGCAGTTGCACAATCACAGCTTGCTGCAGCCTCAACCTCCTGGGCTCAAGTGATCCTCCCACCTCAGCCTCCCAAGTAGCGTAAACTAAAGGCACATACCACCATGCCCATCTAATTTTTAAAATATTTTGTAGAGGCGGGGTCTCCCTTTATTATCCAGGCTGGTCTCTTACTCCTGGGCTCAAGAGATCCTCCTGCCTTAGCCTCCCAGAGTGCTAGATTACAAGCATCAGCTACTGTACCCAGCCTTTCATGTCAATTTTAATTCACAATATCTTGGGGGACTTTGGATAGGTGACTGTTAAGCTTCTACAAGTTTTTAAGGATTCTTCTAGGCATTTACTTTCTAGGAAATTAATACATTTTTAATATTTATAAAAAGATTTAATAAAGACTTAATGGATTTTCTTGATGAGGTGATAGTACCATGCAGTAAACCCACACATTTACAGAACTTGTAAATGATTCTGCTTCTACTTAATGTGATGAGTCTGCATCACAATTCCAGTGACATATAAGTAAAGCCTGTCTTGTATACTGTCATGCATATGTCCTACATTTTATCTTTAAATATAATTTTAAGCTCTTCACTAGATATATCAGGACTACCAAATGAAAAAAGGAGTTGGAAAGATGATACATTGTCTCAGGACAGTAGTTTTTAACCTTTTAGGGGATTTCGTATTTTTTTCTGAGGACCTAATGAAAGCTCTTTATCTTCAGAGGGGAAAAAATGCACCTATGCACAAAATTTTAGTTTCAGGTAGTTCATAGATTTCAGATTTTAGAAGCTTCCTGTAGACAGTGCTTCTTGATATCTTTTACGGGGTGATGCATTAGAATAAATGACTGCTTGCATATTCTTCCTGAAACCAGCCGAAAGCTGAGAGATTCAGTATATGGCATCTCTCTATTCTTCTGCATACCATTTGGAAGCTCTGCTCCAGGAAAAGTGTTAAGGGAAGTAACTTATCACTTGCCAAAGGACATTTAACTCATAAAAGGTATAGCTAGTCCTTCTATCAAAGAAGCATGTGCACATACACACACAAAAAGTATGCTTAGGGTTCAAACTCAAGGCTGTCTCTAAAGCCTTTGTGCCTTTGACTATGTAATGGTGCCTTCCTAGTCAGAAGGGTATATGTATGTAGTAGGGACTGGGACAGGTAGGTAAATATATTTTTTTCTTACTCAGTGGAACGGCTTTTGGGTGCATGCCCACTAATTAAAAAAGAAGCCACGGCCAGGCAAGGTGGCTCACACCTGTAATCCCAGCACTTTGAGAGGCTGAGGCAGGAGGATCCGGAGGTCAAGAGATTGAGACCATCCTGGCCAATATAGTGAAATCTTGTCTCTACTAAAAGTTCAAAAATTAGCCAGGCATGATGGCGCACACCTGTAGTCCCAGCTACTCGGGAGGCTGAGGCAACAGAATCACTTGAACCCGGGAGGCAGAGGTTGCAGTGAGCTGAGATCATGCACTCCAGCCTGGTGACAGAGCAAGACTCTGACTCAAAAAAAAAAAAAAAGCCACGTCAGTAATATGACTTGATAAAATTTTGTCAAAAATGGAAATTACCTAACATAATTGATTCAATAAACTATGGCCCATCAGAACAGTGGAATATTATGTAGCAATTATAGATGTTTATCATGGCAAATGTAAACATCATACACATAATAAAATGAAAATATTTTAAAGTACACTCTGGGCCAGGCACGATGGCTCATGCCTGTAATCCCAGCACTTGGGGAGGCTAAAGCAGGCCCATCACCTGTACTCAGGAGTTTAAGACCAGCCTAGACAACATGGCAAAACCCCATTTCTATTTAAATTATTTAAAAAATAAATAAAGTACACTCTGATGGAAACTGTGTGAAAACATAAATATTAATTGATCCAATAATTTATTAAGCAGGTATTATATTTAATAATCAGGATATTTAGTACTAACTGAAACAGAAACAACTTCTGACCTAATGGAATGATAGGAAAAGATAGATACTTTGTTCCAAGACAATAGGGTTTAACTTTTTAGTGTCTCATGATCATCCTGAGGTTTTGTTTTATTTTATTTTATTTTGAGATGGGGTTTCACTCTTATTGCCCCGACTGGAGTGCAATGGCATGATCTCGGCTCATTGTAACCTCTGCCTCCCAGGTTCAAGCAATCAGCCTCAGCCTCCCGAATAGCTGGAATTAGACGCGCCCACCACTGTACCTGGCTAATTTTGTATTTTAGTAGAGATGAGGTGTCACCATATTGGCCAGGCTGGTCTCGAACTCCTGACCTCAGGTGATCCATGCTGAGGATTTAATGAAAGCTATTTATTCCCGGGGAGGGGGGAATGTACCAATGCAGAGTAATGTGCAAGGTGATAGGTACAAATAAAAGTTGTTTTGTTAAGGAGATTATATTGAGCTGAATGCTTCTCCCAACTAGTCCTGCTTTTTCTGTCTGGCAGCAGAGAGTAGATCTGTTTCTTCTTGGATTGGACAGCCCTTCAAACATGTCAAATATGTAATCATGTCTCTGTATATGAGATAAACATCCTTCATTCCATTAAGCATTCTTGGTGCATTTTTTCCCCCGTACTTGTTTCTGTCTTTATCATTCTCTTTTGGACACACCCTTATCTGTCAGTGTCCATTAGTCTGGTCCAAACTAAACACATCTTAGCTGGGCACAGTGGCTCACACTTGTATCCCAGCACTTTGGGAAGCCAAAGCAGAAGAATTGCTTGAGGCCAGGAGTTTGAGACCAGCCTGGTCAACATAGTTGAGACAACTATCTCTGCAAAAAAATTTAAAAATTAGCCAGGCGTGGTGGTACGTGCCTGTAATCTCAGCTACCCAAGAGGCTGAGGTGGCAAAATTGCTTGAGCTTGGGAGATTCAGGCTGCCATGAACTGTAATCATACCTTTGCACTCCAACCTAGGTGACAGAGGAAGACCCTGACTCAAAAAATATAATAATAAAATAAGAAAAAACAACATGTCCCACATATTGTATAGCCACTTAGGCAATATGTTTGCCAGGGCTGCCGTAACAGACTAGGTGGCTTAAACAACAGAAATTTATTTTCTCACAGTCTTGAAGGTTGAAAGTCCAAGAACAAGGTGGCAGCAAGTTTGGTCTCTTCTTCTTCTTCTTTTTTTTTTTTTTTTTTTGACAGAGTTTCACTTTTGTTGCCGAGGCTGGAGTGCAATGACATGATCTCAGCTGACTTCAGCCTCCACCTCCTGGGTTAAAGCGATTCTCTTGCCCCAGCCTCCGAGTAGCTGGGATTACAGGTGCGCGCCACCATGCTCAGCTCATTTTTTTTTGTAATTTTAGTACCAAAAAAAGGTAGGGTTTCACCATGTTGGCCAGGCTAGTCTCAAACTCCTGACCTCAGGTGATCTGCCCACGTTAGCTTCCCAAAGTATTGGGATTACAGGCATGAACCACCATGCCCAACCTAAGGTTGGTATCTTCTAAGGCTTTTTCCATGGCTTGCATATGGCCACCTTCTCCTCTTTTCTGTGTGTGTGAGAGTCCCTGGTTCTCTCTTTGTGAGTTCACATTTCCTCTTACAAGGACACTAGTAAGATTGGATTAGGGCTGACCCTAATGGTCTCAATTTAAATTAATCACTTATTTAAAAGCTCTGTCTCCAAATACGGTCACATACTGAGGTACTGGAGGTTAGGGTTTTAAAACCCTACAAATTTTGGGGACAGAGATTCTCCCCGTAACTGGCACCCTATCTTTGGGTTGAAGTAATGGGAATATGGGAGACTCTAACTTATTTTGTTTACTGTTCTGTGTAAAAATTAATACACAGGAATAAATCTGTTTTTGTTTTTATCTTTTTTTTCTTTCAGCCAAAATCTGAAGATGAAGAAGGCTGGAAGAAATTTTGTCTGGGTGAGAAGTTATGTGCTGACGGTGCTGTTGGACCAGCCACAAATGAAAGTCCTGGAATAGATTATGTACAAGTAAGGGCTATGTCAATAAACAGAACAAAAAGCATTTTAATTTTGGTGCATCACTTAATATAAGGGGTCAGCAAACTACATCCTGGGCCAAGTCCAGTCCTTGGCCTTCTTTATATATCCCATGAGCTATGGATGGTTATTAGGTTTTTAAAGAGTTGTAAAAAAGAAACCAATAATATGTGACTGAGACTGTATGTGGCCTGCAAAGCCTAAAATATTTGCTGTCTGACTCTTGAGAGAAAATGTTTGCCAACCCAGACTTAGTTTAATAGCTCTTCCTCCTAACAAAACAGCCGTGACTTTTTTTAGGTTCACTTCATATCCCTTATATTTGGCTATATATCATTTTATGAGTTGGATAAGATTCAGGTTTTTTTAAAATGATGAGGCATTGGGCAAACAATGTTATGAGTAGCCATGAAAAAAATGGAAAACGACACAATTAGGCGCTTTAAAACACATAATCACATTTATCACTTCATGGGCTTGTAAAAAATAAAGTAAATCACATAATTTGAAGATGAAATGTTGAGGATATGTTTAAAATTCACATGGCTTTAATCATAAGTTATGGAGCCAACTCCTTGTCCTTTAGGATTCGCCTGTCCCCAAGTTTGCAGGTGTTCCTTTAGAATCCAGTGTGTGCCTCTGCATTAGTGCTTACTCTCTATATCATGTTGTTCTCTTCAGTTCAACAGGTATTTATTATTTGCTATATGATGCCACATTGTGTTTTTCCCATTTAATACTAATTTTTCCCAAAGATTGAAAGAGCTCCAAGTATCAATAAAAAAAACAAAAATCACTCCTCCCCTGCCCAAGAAAAAACAGGCAAAGGATGTAGATACCTCACAGAAAGGAAATAAAATTATTCTTATATGACAAGATGCCAAAAATCACTTGTAATAGAAGCATAACCTAACCATGCCAAGGTGCTATTTTTCAGGTAACGTATTGGCAAAGAAAGTTTGATACACCATATTAACAAGAGCTGGGAAAACAGGCACTCTTTCTTACACATGGTACAGGAGTGTAAATAGACTCAATCTTAGGGAAGGTAATTTGGTACTGTTTCTATATAACCAATTGATCTTTTGGATGATATCCTTAATATATGTTACATTTCAAAAATGGTTTTCTTTATATATATATATTTGATGAGACAGGGTCTTCTTCTGTCATCTGTGCTATAGTGCAGTGGTATAGGTCATAGCTCATTACAGCTTCAACCTCCTGGGCTCAAGCAATCCTCCCACATCAGCCCTCTACATAGCAGGGACAGCAGGCACCACCACACCTGGCTAATTTTTTAATTTTTTGTAGAGATAAGTTTACTAATATAAACATTTTTAATTTTTTATAAAATTTTTTATAAATTTTTTTTAGAGATACGTTTTTGCCATTTTGCCCAGGTTGGCCTGGAACTCCTGGGCTCAAGCAGTCCTTCTGCTGGGATTACAGGCATGAGCCATTATGGCTGACCAAAAATAATTTTTAATTTAATAAAGAATTAAAACTTCCTTATTTAGCTTATTTTCAGAGAATACAGGCAAGTAAAATATACCATGTTAAAATTTTAAAAAAACCCTTAAGAGTTAATGTATATCCTCTTAAGTTTCTCACAAATCAATGGTATTTTCATAATTAGGAATTACAGCCTCAGACTCCAAAGTACACTTTTAAAATGTGAATCAAATTAGATTTTTAAAATGTCATTTTAATTGAAATGTCCTTAATTCTTGAGAATGTTAGCTTTAGGCTGGGCACGGTGGCTCAAGCCTGTAATTGTAGCACTTTGGGAGGCAAAGGTGGGTGGATCACCTGAGGTCAGGTGTTCAAGACTAGCCTGGCCATCATGGTGAAACCCCATCTTAAAAAATAAAAAAATAATAATAAATTAATTTTAAAGAAAAAGAGAATGTTAGCTTTAGCTGAAAATTTTGTAATGTTGTGTACAATATATTAATGTTATCCTATCAATGTTACAGTTTTATTGAATATACTTAATAACTTAGTTTTTTCAAGTAGTATCATTTAAAAAATTTTTAGTCTTTAACCTTTTAGTTACTAAAATTATACTTTATTTTTAAATTTACATATTCAGACCAGGCGAGGTGGCTCATTCCTATAATCCCAGCACTTTGGGAGGTCCAGGCAGGTAGATCATTTGAACCCAGGAGTTCCAGACCAACCTGGGCAACATGGCAAAACCTCATCTCTACCAAAAATACAAAAAATATTACTTGGGCATGGTGACATGCGCCTGTGGTCCTAGCTACTCTTGAGGCTGAGGTGGGAGCATCACTTGAACCCAGGAAACAGAGGTTACAGTGAGCCAAGATCATGCCACCACACTCCAGCCTGGGTGACAGTGAAACCCCATCTGAAAAAAAAAATAATTACATATTCAAATTTTAAGATGTTATTTTCTTCCACAGTACTAACATAGTCATTACCAGAATGTCATATTGTAATGGACAATGAGTGAATTTTCTTTTATGTGTTCTTTGTTTCTAAACAACAGGGTGGCAAGAAATTCACCAGTTTGAAAAAAAATAAAAATGAAGCTCCTCCTTATAATACTATTTAATAAATTTCAGTCTCATTTTTTCTTTCAGATTGGTTTTCCTCCCTTGCTTAGTATTGTTAGCAGAATGAATCAGGTAAAATTAATGATAAAGATATATGGACTTTTTGTTTGCATTGAGTGTGAAAGTATTTGAATTATTAATACATTTACTGAATTCTTACAGTATGCAGGACTTTGTCCTAAGCTCTTCAGTGTTCTTATTTAATCCTTACTATAACCCTCTATGGGGAATTATTATTGATAACTACTTTTATAGATGAGGAAACAGCATTTGAGGTTAAGGAACTTGCAGGTAGTTTTTCAGCAAGTAAATGACAGTACTGAGATTCAGTGCCAGCTAGATCTAACTACAGAGCTCATACTCTGTCTTAATCATGATGCCAGAGTATTCAGTTCTCTTTTTTTCTTTTTTCTTTTTTTTCTGAGACAAAGTTTTGCTCCTGTTGCCCAGTCTGGAGTGCAATGGCACGATCTCAGCTCACTGCAGCCTCCATCTATCGGATTCAAGTGATTCTCCTGTCTTAGCCTCCCGAGGAGCTGAGATTACAGCTGTGTGCCAGCATGCCTGGCTAAATTTTGTCCTTTTAGTAGAGATGGGGTTTCACCATGTTGGTCAGGCTGGTCTCGAACTCCTGACCTCAGATGATCTGTACACCTCAGCCTCCCAAAGTGCTAGGATTACAGGCGTGAGCCACCACACCTGGCCAGAGTATTCATTTCTGTAGATTTCAGTTATAAGTTGTAGATTCTGGGGTTTGAATTAAATACAGGGTCCCTGACTTACAATGAATGATTCAGTTTAGGAATTTTTTTTTCCATCATGCCTGGCTAATTTTTATATTTTTAGTAGAGACAGGGTTTCATCATGTTGGCCATATTCGTCTCGAACTCCTAGTCTCAAGTGATCTGCCCATCTCAGCCTCCCAAAGTGCTAGGATTAGAGGCATGAACCACCATGCCTGGCCAAGTTAGGAATTTTCAGCTTTACAATGTGTTTATCAGCACATAACCCCATTGCAAGTTCAGGGCCATCTATACTAAGGTTAGATTGCTATTTCTAGTTCTAGATGTCCTACATTCTGTTAAGATTGAAATACATAATTTCTTGGATCAAAGGGGAGAATTACAGAGTTTGGTTCTTCTGGTTTTTTAGGAGTAAGAACTCTGTTATTCATTTAAAAACCAAATAAAAATTTAGTTTTACCTTCACATGGCACTGGATACCTTTGGAAGACTTTTTTTTTTTTTTTTTTTAAACAGGGTCTCATTCTGTTGCCCAAGCTGGAGTACAGTGGTGTGATCCTTGGCTCACTGCAGGCTCGTCCTCTGGGGCGCAGGCACTCCTCCCACCTCAGCCTCCTGAGTAGCTGAGACCACAGACATGTGCTACCATGCCTAGCTAATTTTATTTCTTTATTTTTTGTAGAGACAAGTTCTCTCTATGTTACCCAGGCTGGTCTGGAACTCCTGGGCTCAAGTGATCCTCCCACCTCTGCCTCCCAAAGTGCTAGGAATATGGGTGTGAACCACTGGGCCCAGCTGACAATTTTTTTTGTGGGCGATATTCTATTGGAAATAATAAAAAGCTGACAGTTTTACTTACTTAATCATTTGCATTAAGATATTGTAGCAGTCATACTAAATTTCATCAGTGTGATTTTTGTTGTAAGCATCAACTGTATTTGAATAAACCAAGGAATATTTTCAAGAGTTTGATAAATCCATCTGTACAGCTTAAAAACAGATCTTTCTCCAGCTATTTTTTCTTCAGACTCGTACTTTGATTTAATTTCAATTTGGAAATAAACTGATGGTATCTTTACAAATACATTTTTTTTTAGACAGAGTTTTGCTCTTTTGCCCAGGCTGGAGTGAAATGGCAGGATCTCAGCTCACGGCAACCTCTGCCTCCCAGGTTCAAGCAGTTCTCCTGCCTCAGCCTCCCAAGTAGCTGGGACTATAGGCACTCACCACCACTGACCTCAAGTGATCTGCCTGCCTTAGGGTCCCAAAGTGCTGGCATTACAGGCGTGAGCCACTGTACCTAGCCACAAATATATCCTTTTTTAACCTTGTAAAGTTTTTTAAGTAGTTACAAACTAAATTATTAATAGTTAGAAACTAAATCCTAGGATTTAAACCAAGATGTTAGTTGATATTTGAAAGTGTGAAAATAATTTGTTTTAAAAGCCTCACTGGGGCTGGGTGCAGTGGCTCATGCCTGTAATCCCAGCACTTTGGGAGGCCAAGGCAGACAGATCACCTGAGGTAGGGAGTTCAAGACTAGCCTGACCAACATGGAGAAACCCTGGCTACTAAAAATACAAAAATTAGCTGGACGTGGTGGCGCATGCCTGTAATCCCAGCTACTGGGGAGGCTGAGGCAGGAGCATCACTTGAACCTGGGAGGCGGAGGTTGCAATGAGCCGAGATCGTGCCATTGCACTCCAGCCTGAGCAAAAAGAGCAAAACTTCATCTCAAGGGGAAAAAAATGGCCGGGTGTAGTGGCTCACGCCTGTAATCCCAGCACATTAGGAGGCCAAGTTAGGAGATTGAGACCAGCCTGACCAACATGGAGAAACCTGTCTTTACTAAAAATACAAAAATTAGCCGGGCGTGATGGCACGTGCCTGTACTCCCAGCTACTCGGAAGGTTGAGGCAGAATTGCTTGAACCTGGGAGGCAGAGATTGCAGTGAGCCAAGATTGCACCACTGCACTCCAGCCTGGGCAACAGAGGGAGACTCTTATCTCAAAAAAAAAAAGTCTCACTGGATAAGCCATCGAATCAAACTAATTAGAGTCGAACTAATTAGTATTAGTTTTCTTAGAAAGTTTAAAGAATGAGGTCATTTTAAACATCAGAGTTGCTTTGTAAATAAACTTAATGAAACTTATATTGAATTCGTGTTTTATTGTTAATACAACTCTTCTCTACCCACCTCCTTTTTTTTTTTTTTTTTTAGGCAACAATAACTAGTGTCTTGGAATATCTGAGTAATTGGTTTGGAGACAGAGACTTTACTCCGGAATTGGTAGTATTGCATCTTTTTCTTTTCATAATGTAGGCAAAAATTAGACGTTTTAGGTCAAGTATGGGGAACATATACAATGGTGCTCCCATAGGATTATAATGCTGTATTTTTACTGCACCTTTTTTTTTTTTTTCTTTTGAGACGAGGTCTCACTCTGTTACCCAGGCCGGAGTGCAGTGTTACAGTCATAGCTCACTGCAACCTTGATCTTCCCAACTCAAGCAATCCTCCTTCCTCAGCCTCCTGGGTAGCTAGGACTACAAGTGCACACAACCACAGCCAGCTAATTATTATTTTTACTAGAGACAAGATCTCACTATGTTGCTCAGGCTCATGTTGAACTGAGTCCAAATGATCCTCCCTCTTTAGCCTCCCTAAGTGCTGGAGATTACAGGCATGAGCCACCATGCATGGCCTTTTGTGTTTTTTAAATAGAGACGAGGTGTCACTATGTTTCCCAGGCTGATTTCAAACTCCTAGGCTCAAGTGTTCCTCCCAACTTGGCCTCACAAACTGTTTGTATTATAGGCATGAGCCACTGAGCCCAGCTCCTTTTCAGTGTTTAAATATGTTTAGATGCAACTGGGCACAGTGGCTCACACCGGTAATCCCAACTACTAGGGAGGCTGAGGAAAGAGGATCACCTAAGGCCAGGGAGGTTGATGCTGCAGTGAGCCATTATTGTGCCACTGTACTCTAGCCTGAGTGACAGAGTGAGATCCTATCTTAAAAAATTTATATGTGAGGTTTTTGGATGCACAAATGTTTACCATTATGTTACAGTTGACTACCGTATTCAGTACACTAATGTGCTATATATGTTTGTAGCCTAGGAGCAATTGGCTATGCAATGTAGTCTAGGTGTGTAGTAGACTATACCATCTAGGTTTATGTAAGTATACTTTATGATGCTCGTCCAGGGACAAAATCACCTAATGCATTTCTCAGAATATATCCCCTTCATTAAGTGACGCATGACTGTACTTACATATGAGATATGACGCCACAGTATTTGATTTATTTATTTATTTATTTATTTTTGAGATGGAGTCTCCCTTTGTTGCCCAGGCTGGAGTGCAGTGGTTCAATCTCAACTCACTGCAACCTCCACCTCCTGGGTTCAAGCAGTTCTCTTCCCTCAGCCTCCCAAATAGCTAGGACTACAGGATTGTACCACCAAGCCCAGCTAACTTTTGTATTTTTGTAGAGATGGGCTTTCTCCATGTTGGCCAGACTGGTCTTGAATTCCTGACCTCAAGTAATCTACCCGCCTCCACCTCTCAAAGTGCTGGGATTACAGGCTGAGCCACTGCAGCTGGCCAGTATTTATATTTATATATGTGTATGTATGTGTGTATATATATATGTTTAATCTGAAGTATGCTTCTTTGTAGTCAAATAAGAAACACTAGAATGTAAATCAACATACTACTTCCTTCATTGAGAAAGTCTTGCTTTGAGAAAAAAAAAGTCAATGAAAGAGTTGATTTATATCTTGGTACAAGGTACAAACTGCTTATCTTGTTGCAGACAAGTGTAGAGGATATTTAATATTTGAATGCTAGCTTTACATAGTAAGTGTATCCCTTAAAATTTGAGTCAAGTTGATATGTATAATTTTTTTTATAGAAAAATTATTTCCACAATTTGTAAAAGAAACCTGGAATTGAATCTTTTTATGTAAGAAAGTCTAACTATTGATTGGGCTTGCCTGAGGAACTAATTTAGTGTGTTATATAAATTGCTATTTAGATTTTGCCCAAATATTTTTTAGGTTTCTCCAAAGTGATATGTTGCTCAGAATAAAAGAAGTTATATACACTACTGATGGAAATACAAATTTGGTATAACCTTTCCAGGATACAATCTGGTGATCATATCTGAAAAAGTTTGATAAATATACATACTCTTTGTCACCATTTTACCTGCAATACTTTTTTTTTTTTTAAGACTGGGTTTCACCATGTTGGTCAGGCTGGTCTTGAACTCCCGACCTCAGGTGATCCGCCTGCCTTGGCCTCCAAAGTGCTTGGATTATAGGCATGAGCCACCACACCCGGCCCTACTTGCAGTACTTCATAAACTTTTCCCATGTTGTCAAATGGGATTAAACAAGGTAATATTATTAAATACTCTCAACAAGGCACTTAACATTGCCTTGTTAATCCCATTTAACTACATGGGATGGCCAAGTGGGGTGGCTCATGCCTGTAATCCCAGCACTTAGGGAGGCCAAGGTGGGCACAATCACTTGAGGTCAGGATTTCAAGACCAGCCTGGCCAACATGGTGAAACCCCATCTGTACTAAAAATACAATATTAGCTAGGCATGGTGGCGGGTGAGGCAAGAGGACTGCTTGAACCTGGGAGGCAGAGGTTGCAGTGAGCCAAGATGGCACCACCACATTCCAGCCTGGGTGACAGAGGGAGATTCCATCTCAGAAAAAAAAAAAGGACAAAAACAACATGGGAAACATTTTATATGTATTATAAATAAAAAAGATGGTTACAAGGTGATATTATAACTGATGAAATTTTATTGAAAAAAAGTCATACGGCCAGACACAGTGGCTCACGCCTGTAATCCCACCACTTTGGGAGGCTGAGGCGGGTAGATCACTTGAGGTCAGGATTTCAAGACCAGCCTGACCAACATGGTGAAACCCCATCTCTACTAAAAATACAAAATTAGCCAGGCATGGTGGCACATGCCTGTAATTCCAGCTACTTGGCAGGCTGAGACAGGATAATCACTTGAACCCAGGAGGCAGAGATTCCAGTGAACTGAGATCATGTTGTTGCACTCCAGCCTGGGCAACAAGAGTGAAACTCTGTCAAAAAAAAAAAAAAAAAGTTGTACATATGAATAGGAAAAAGAAGAGTATTTTTAAAGTGAGTCAAAGTTTTATCTGGAATGTTGGGACAGCAGGTTTGTTTTTTCTTGTGCTTGTGGTATTCTCACAGTTTCTCTGCATCAAATATGTATTTATCCTGTAATTGGAAAACCCATTTTAAAAGGGAGTGGGGATAAATTCAGCCTGTCAAAATATTTATAGAAGTGTCAAAAAATTATTTCATCTACAGTATAGTTCCTTTGTATGCCCCAGAGGACAAAATTATACAATTATAAAATGACTTGTATATCTGTCCATACAGAACAAAGAAAAAAAGTACCTTAATTTTTCAAGTATTTATATTCATCTTAATGTAATTTTCTGTTTACAAATGAGAACTTCCTGTCATAAGAATGTCTGAAATGAACTCTTGGAGATCAGGAAATATTTTGAGGTATCCAGTGTCTTGTGTCTATAGTTACGGGATACAAAAGATAACACCTGGCTTTCCAAATGATGCTTTGTTGTCTATACCCAAACATAATATAGTTAAATGTTCTATGAATTTATTCATAGCAGATAATCAGGCATAACATTGGACATTTAAAATAAACTTCTGCTTTACTATTTGTCTAAATACTACCTTTTTGAATTTTTTTTAGGGAAGATGGCTTTATGCTTTATTGGCTTGTCTTGAAAAGCCTTTATTACCTGAGGCTCATTCACTGATTCGGCAGCTTGCAAGAAGGTGCTCTGAAGTGAGGCTCTTAGTGGTAAGTGTAAAATTACTGTTTAAAATTAAAAACACTCACAAATTTATATGGTGTTAAAGAAAGAGTTCAATGAAATAGGAAAACACATGGAATATTTTATTGGTTACAATTAGATTTGTGTTTATAACAGAAAAGCCCAAAATAATAGTAGCTTAAATAAAGTGGAAACGTTTTTCTCAGATAAAGAAAGTTTGGACTGGGTGAGGTGGCTCACACCTGTTCCCAGCACTTTGGGAGGCTGAGGTGGGTGAATCACCTGAAGTCAGGAGTTTGAGACCAGCCTGGCCAATGTGGTGAAACCCCATCTCTACTAAAAATACAAAAATTAGATAGGCATTGTGGTGGGCGCCTGTAATCCCAGCTACTCAGGCAGCTGAGGCAGGAGAATCGTTTGAACTCGGGAGGCGGAGGTTGCAGTGAGCTGAGATTGTGCCACTGCTCTCTAGCCAGGGCAACAGAGTAAGACTCTGTCTCAATAAAAAAGTAAGTAAAAAATTAGATTTTTATGGCCAGGCACAGTGGTTCATGCCTGTAATCCCAGTACTTTGGGAGGTCGAGGCAGATGAATCACTAGGTCAGGAGTTCGAGACCAGCCTGGTCAATGTGGTGAAACCCCAAATCTACTAAAAATATAAAAATTAGTCGGGCATTGTGGCACGCACATATAATCCCAGCTACTTGGGAGACTGAGGCAGAATTGCTTGAACCCAGAAGGAGGAAGTTGCAGTGAGCCGAGAACGTGCCATTGCACCTCAGCCTGGGCAACAGAGTGAGACTCTCAAAAAAAAAAAAAAAAAATTAGATTTTTACTAAGATGGCAGGAGTTTTGTCATATGTGGCTTTCACACTCATGTTCGTCTCATGATCCACGATGGCTGCCGTAGCTTCAGCTATAGTTTTGGTTTTTGTTTTTTTTTTTTTTTTTTTTGAGATGAAGTCTGGCTCTTGTTGCCTAGGCTGGAGTGCAGTGGCATGATCCCAGCTCACTGCAACCTCCATCTCCCTAGTTCAAATAATTCTCCTGTGTCAGCCTCCCAAGTAGCTGGGATTACAGGCATCCACCACCATGGCTGGCTAATTTTTGTATTTTTAGTAGAGACAGGGTTTCGCCATGTTGGCCAGGCTGGTCTTGAACTCCTGACCTCAGGTGATCTGCCCACTGCAGCCTCCCAAAGTGCTGGGATTATAGGCATGAGCCACCGTGCCCAGCCACCCATAATATTTTGATATAGGCAACTAGAAAGAAGCAGCCCATCCTCTTTAAATAACCTTCTCAAAGGTTCCCCAGGCATATCTGGCTATATATCTCATTGGCCAGAATTTAATCACATGGCCATAAGGGACTTTAGGAAATGTTTCCTTTTGCCTGGGCACAAGTATGCCTAGCTAAAAATGAGCTCTGTTGATAAATAGTAGGGGGACACAGGAAGCCAGAGTGATCAACCAGCAGTCTTGGGCATAGTAATTGTTTTGAATTTCTCCAATCAGACCCTTCCTCTAACTCATGCCTATAGCATTACTGTATAAATTAATCTAATGCCAGATTAAGCCCAGTTTTGATTTTTCTTTCCTCCCTCCTTCCCCATCCCCAGAATGTACATTGACCACTCCAAATTTTTTTTTTCTTTTTTTTGCCCCCAAGATAGGGTCTCACTCTGTTGCCCAGGCTGGAATGGAGTGGTGCAATCACAGCTCACTGCAGCCTCAACCTCCTCAGACTCAGGTAATCCTCCCACCTCAGGCTCTTAAATAGCTGAGACCACAGGCATGTACCACCCTACTTGCCTAATTTTTATTTTGTAGAGATAGGATTTTGCCATGTTGCCCAGGCTGACCTCAAACTCCTGGCCTCAAGCAACCTGCCGCCCCTGGGCTCTCAAAGTGCCAGGATTACAGGTGTTGTGTCCAACCCAAAATATTTTCATTGAACTTCCATGATATGGCCTAAACTAACATTTATATGGCCTGTGCTCCAGAAAAAATGTGCTTACTGTTCACTAAGTGTTCCCTGTGCTTTGTTTCTAGACTTTTTTCCCTCTACAGAAGTCCCTTTCCACTCTCAATTTGCATTTAAATACCATTTACTTTTTTGTAATCTGGTTCATATTCCACCACATGCTATAAGACTTTCCTGAACCTAAGAACTAGGAAGAATCGCTCCATCTTGTTTTTCCAGCATCTTTATATCCTGTATATGGCACTTAATACATTTTTTCCTTCCATATTAGCTAATATGTGATAGTTCATCATCTGTACTACTAGCAGATAACGTTTTCTTCAGCTTTATTTCATATAATGCTTGCTACATGGAAGAACTTAACATGCGGCTGGGCACAGCGGCTCACGCCTGTAATCCCAGCACACTGGGAGGCTGAGGTAGGTGGATCATGAGGTCAAGAGATTGAGACCATTCTGGCCAACATGGTGAAATCCCGTCTCTAGTAAACTACAAAAAATTAGTGGGGCATGGTGGTGTGCACCTATAGTCCCAGCCACTCGGGAGGCTGAGGCAGGAGAATCACTTGAACCCAGGAGGCAGAGGTTGCGGTGAGCCAAGATTGCACCACTGCACTCCAGCCTAGCAACAGAGCAAAACTCTGTCTCAAAAAAAAAAAAAAAAAAAAGAATTGAACATGGAAGTGTGTCTCAAATTTGAATTAAATATGTCTGCTGTAACATTACTGAGATTATTGTGACTTTTCCTTGAAATGTATAAAGTTCATATTTTATACCACTACCTTCCATGTGTCTTAAACCTGTCATTTTAACAAATATTTAAAGTGAACTTTTAAAAATATATTAGTTCAGATTGTGCCTGGTGGCTCACACCTGTAATCCCAGAATTTTGCAATGCTGAGGCGGGTGGATCACCTGAGGTCAGACCAGCCTGGCTAACATGGTGAAACCCCATCTCTACTGAAAATACAAAAATTACCCGGGTGTGGTGGCGCACGCCTGTAATCCCAGCTACTCAGGAGGCTGAGGCAGAAGAATCACTTGAACCCAGGAGTCAGAGACTGCAGAACCAGTGAGCCAAGATCATACCACTGCACTCCAGCCTGGGTGACAGAGTGAGACTCTGTCTTAAATAAATAAATAAAAAGGCCAGGAATGGTAGCTCACACCCCAGCACTTTGGGAGACCAAGTCAGGCAGATCACGAGGTCAAGAGATTGAGACCATCCTGGCCAACATGGTGTAACCCTGTCTCTACTAAAAATACAAAAATTAGCTGGGCGTGGTGACATGTGCCTGTAGTCCCAGCTACTTGAGGGGCTGAGGCAGGAGAATCACTTGAACCTGGGAGGCAGAGGTTGCAGAGAGCTGAGATCGTGCCACTGCACTCCAGCCAGGCGACAGAGCAAGACTCCATCTCATAAATAAATAAAGTTCAGAAATTGCCTGCATTTTAATTCAGAAGCCTGACCTAGAATATTTTCTGGTATGACTTATCCTGGAAGCCAAGATTTCACTCTTTCTTGATTGTAACGTCCTTAAAACATAGGCATATATGGTGAACCATATATATATTTATTTATATATATACATAGATATTTAGTAATGAGTATGTATATTCAGTAATGAATACATATATTCAGTAATGAGTATATATATATTCAGTAACGAATATATATAGAAGAACAATAAGAATCCTGTCTTGACTGTACAGTGATGAATATATAATTATATATATTCATATATAGAATACATATATCTTCATATACTTACATAACAAGAGGAACAATAATAGTCTTATGTTTTGGCTGTATAGTGATGAATAATATATATATGAATATGAATATATAATATATCCATATATATATTATTCATCACTATTATATAGTACATATTCATGTATATACTAATATGAATATAATATATATATTCATCACTGTACTGTACACAGGATTCTTATTGTTCCTCTAGTAGGAACCAGGGAAAAATTTCCCCCAACTTAGATCACTCCACTCTTATTTTTTTTTCCCTATTCAGAATCTTTATTTAAAAGGTAGTCTTGTTTCTTAAGGAATCATTAATCTACAGTGTTCTCCTTTTTCTTTGAGGGCTCCTATTTCCACATGATGATTACTATAATAAAGTTTTCATGTTTCATGTTTCACATAATTTATTTAAAAAATAATGGAAACAGACAATATTTAAATTTTTCTTTCTTTTTTTTAGGATAGCAAAGATGATGAGAGGGTTCCTGCTTTGAATTTATTAATCTGCTTGGTTAGCAGGTATAGTTAATCCTTGGCTGCTTGATTATTTGTATATCAGTGAGGTCAGTAAGGGTAGAACATATTCATTACATTTGTTTTTTGTTTGGTTGTTTTTTTTGAGACCAGGTGTCACTCTGTTGCTATAGCTAGGGTGCAGTGGCACAATCACAGCTCACTACAGGTTTAACTTCCAGGCTCCAGTGATCCTCCTACCTCAGCTAGCTCCTGAGTAGCTAGTTGGACCACAAGCATACACCACCACAACCAGCTAATTTAAAAAAAATTTCTTTGGAGACGGGGTCTCACTGTGTTGCCCAGTCTGGTCTCAGAACTCCTCGGCTCAAGTGATCCTCCCACCTAAGCCTCCCAAAGCACTGGGATTACTGGCATAAGCCACTGCACTCAGCCTTCATTTTTTTTTTAATTGCCTGTGTCTTGTGTTCATTTTCAGTTGCAGCATATTTTTGTTTAGTATCTGTTTGATTTCATTTCTTACATAAAAGTTTTTCTTGGAATTTATTTGAAAACTTTTTCTTTTTTTTTTTTTTTGAGACGGAATCTCACTCTTGCCCAGGCTAAAGTACAATGGCACCATCTTGGTTCACTGCAACCTCCACCTTCCAGGTTCAAGTGATTTCCCACCTCAGCCTTCCGAGTAGCTGGGATTACAGGCACCCGCCATCATGCCCAGCTAATTTTTGTATTTTTGTGGAGACGGGGTTTCACCATGTTGGCCACACTGGTATTGAACTCCAGACCTCAGGTGATCTGCCTGCCTTGGCCTCCCAAAGTGGTAAGATTACAGGCATGAGCCACCACTCCCAGCCTGAAAACTTTTTCATATTCTAAATTCTAAATAAAACACATACATACTTATTTTAGGTCTCCTCCTGGACATATTTTTACTCCATAGATCATCAGGGTTTTTATTCCAGTGCCAGTACCTTTTTAAAGCTTTATAATATACTTAAACATTGAGAAGGCAAGTAAGTGTCCATATTTTCACATATTCAATATCTAGTTTCTTGATCTATAATAATTATGCTGCTGATTAACATTTACTGGACAATTTGTGCCAAGCATTTTCCTTACTAAGGAACCCATTTGATCCTCATAAGGTGGGTACTGTTATCAGTTTACAGATGAGGAAACCATGGGAGAGAGAGGTTAAATAACATTACTCCCATCACAAAGCTAGTAAGTGGTAGAGTTAGGATCCAAACCCAGGCAACTTGACTCCAGAGCTAAGCTTTTAACTATGCTGATCACAAATGAAGCTAATACATACCTCATCTGTTGGTAGTAGCAGTTAAATGAGATGATATAGCATTGCCCTAGTTATCTTATGTATAGTATCTCTACCCTTTACAGTAGCTCAGAGTTGTGTTTTGTTGTTTTTGTTTTAATACATTTTATCCTTTCAGCTCTGTTGGACTTGATTTTTTTTCCCTTTTACAGATAATGACACAGATTTGGATGGGTTAAGTAATTGATGGCTCAGCAAACCAGTAATAAATGAAATCTGAAACTTAAGTATAGCTTCTGACTGCCAATCCATTGAGATTTTACAGTATTATGCAATTATGAAAGCAAAAACATTCAAGTGTATTTTTTGCCCTCAAAAAGTTAGATAAAAATGGAAAGAGTTCTAGACTACAGAAGGTTCTGAAGCTAACAGCTTACAAAACAAGACATAAAGATTTGAAACTTTAGAAAAAAAGGGCCGGGTGCTGTGGTTCAAGCCTGTTCCCAGCACTTTGGGAAGCCAAAGCAGGTGGATCACCTGAGGTCAGGAGTTCAAGACTAGCCTGGCCAACATGGTGAAACCCTGCCTCTACTAAAAATACAGAAATTACCCAGGCATTGGAGCACATGCCTTTAATCCTGGCTACTCAGGAGACTGAGGCAAGAGAATCGCTTGAACCCAGGAGGTGGAGGTTGCAGTGAGCTGAGATCATGCCATTGCACTCCAGCCTGGGCAACAAGAGGGAAATTCCATCTCAAAGGAAAAAAAAGCCAGGTGCAGTGACTCACACCTGTAAATCCCAGTGCTTTGGGAGGCCAAGGTGGGAGGATTGCTTGAGTCCAGGAGTTCAAGAGTTCAGTGAGCCATGATAAAATTTGATTAGTGATTTTCCTTTTTATTTAATCTGGTCTTTTAATTACATAAAATAGTTAACCTTGCCAAAGTTAAAATTATAATTCCAGGTACATTTGGAGTATTTTAGCATCCATCTTTAACCTCATTAAACTCTTTTCTCGTTTCTCCTCTAATCATGTTACTATTAATTTTTGTTTTATCCTTTCATTCATTGTTTCTTTTTAAAAGTATAAGTAGCCCAGATGCAGTGGCTCATGTCTATAATCCTAGCACTTTGAGAGGCTGAGGCTGGAGAATTGTTTGACCCCAGGAGTTCAAGACCAGTCTGGGCAATGAATGAGCCATGATCATGCCACTGCACTCCAGCCTAGGTGACAAAGTGAGACCTTGTCTCAAAAAAAAAAAAAAAAAAAAAAAAAGGAAAAGAAATATGTAAGCAAACATGTATATTTGCAATCCTACACATATTCACATAAGATAGCATACAAAACAATCTGTTTTGTACTTCATTTTTTTTCACTTAATAAATCCTGGAAATCATACGTTAGTAGTATAAATATCTTCCTCATTCCCTTTTATGGCTTCATAATTTTCCACTATGTAGATGTACTATAGCTTATTTAACCAGTCTCTTGATGGATATTTGGGTTGCTTTTGGTCTTTGGCTGTCGAAAATATTGCAACAGTTAATATCTTCATAAATTATTTTTTTTGCTAGGTATTTTGACCAGCGTGATTTAGCTGATGAGCCATCTTGATGTAGCTGATCTCTCAGGGATAGAAGATATTTCTCATGAAGGCAGCCTAACTCTGAGGAAAGCAAAGCCAATTCAAGTACAGATTGCAACATATCTTCAACACTGTGTGAAGGGCTCACATCTTTACCTGTGCAATTTCAGATTGATACTCAGAATGTAGGTTGTATTGATTTGAATATCTGAAATATCAGTGGAAAATCCCATTCAGTTTTTGATGAACAATTTAAACAGTTTTACATAATCAAGCAGCTTGCATAGAAATTGTATGATAAAATTTTACATAGGTTTCTGGTGCTGTTTTGTCCTTTTCTTGTTGTTTTTTGTTTTGTTATTTGCTGATATACATATAAAATTTTATTGAAAATATGTTTTGGTTACAAAAATTTTGTTTGACGCCTAACAAAAGACAATGGATAGCCTTAGCATCAGAATTAAAACAATCTAGATTAAATGGCAAGTATATTCATACTCAGCAGTAATTAATCAAACATTTTTTTCCTTTGAGCTCAGTACTTTTTTTTTTTTGAGATGGAGTTTTACTCTGTCACCCAGGCTGGAGTGCAGTGGTGTGATCTAGGCTCACTACAACCTCCGCCTCCCAAGTTCGTGATTCTCTTGCCTCAGAATCCCAAGTAGCTGGGTATACAGGTGCCAGCAACCATGCCCAGCTAATTTTTGGATTTTTATTAGAGATGAGGTTTCACCATGTTGGCCAGGCTAGTCCCAAACTCTTGACCTCAGGTGATCCATCTACCTCAGCCTCCCAAAGTGCTGGGATTACAGGTGTGAGCCACCATGCCTGGCCTTGATACTTTTATTTTTAAATGCTTTGTTGCGCAAAAATCTTTAACAAATCATTTTCAAAAATATTCTTAACAAGTCAACTGTTTTAATTTTTTTATATTACTTATAATTTATCTATTTTTATATCAGGTAGGAATGTTTTCTGATTTAAGTAACACAGAAGATCCAAGTGGCAATGGTTCTTCAAATAGGGGTTTATTTTTCTCAGATAACAAGAAGTCTGAAAGAGCTGGCCAATGACATTAGATTAGTGACTCAGTGTTATCAAGGTCTCTGAGATTCCTTTAGCCTTTCCATCATGGAAATAAGATAGCCATTGCAGTTCAAGGCAGTGTATCTGTATTCAAGACAAAAAGAGGGGGAAGCAGAGCCTTCTACGTAGGATCCTTTTCTCTCAAATGTAAAACCTTTTTTAGAAAGTTAGCTCATCTACTAGCCATAAATATATAACATGATCATCCCTTGTTCCCAGAAAAGTGGGGAAATGAAGCTGTAAGCCTTTCCAATCTTACTAATAGAAGGTGGGAAAGGAAAAAGGGGATTGGGAATAACCATGGATCAGACAACCAGTAGTTTTGCCACTAGTTATAATTAGAGAAGAGGTCATTTTATATTTGGATCTTTTCTGTTATATCTTCAAAACTCACTTTTATTTTATTTATTTATTTATTTATTTATTTATTTTGAGACGGAGTTTTGCTCTTGTTACCCAGGCTGGAGTACAATGGTGCGATCTTGGCTCACCACAACTTCCACCTCCTGGGTTCAGGCAATTCTCCTGCCTCAGCCTCCTGAGTAGCTGGGATTACAGGCACGCGCCACCATGCCCAGCTAATTTTTTGTATTTTTTTTAGTAGAGATGGGGTTTCACCATGTTGACCAGAATGGCCTCGATCTCTTGACCTCGTGATCCACCTGCCTCAGCCTCCCAAAGTGCTGGGATTACAGGCATTAGCCACCGCGCCTGGCCCACTTTATTATTTTTTTCTTGAGACGGAGTCTTGCTTTGTTGCCCAAGCTGGAGTGCAGTGGCACAGTTTTGGCTCACTGGAACCTCCACCTCCTGGGTTCAAATGATTCTCCCGCCTCAGCCTCCTGAGTAGGAGGGACTACAGGCATGCATCACCACGCCTAGCTAATTTTTTTGTATTTTTAGTAGAGACAGGGTTTCACCATGTTGGTCAGCTGGTCTTGAACTCCTGACCTCAGATGATCCACCCGCCTAGGCTTCCCAAAGTGTTGGGATTACAGGCATAAGCCACTGTGCCCGACTCATAAAGCTCACTATAAAATGGCAGTCCAAGTACTTAAAAATTTCCTCATTGTTGGATATCTAATTTTATTTTCAGTGCTAATCCAATATAAAAAAAAATACTACACTGATACCTTCATGCACACAGCTTTTTCTTTTTTCAAACTTTTTTCCTTTGATCAAAAGTTCCCAAAAGTAGGCAAACCATGAGAGTCTATCAATCAGTTAATACTGCATTTGAAAACTTGGCTAAACTGATGTTTCTAAAATTGTTTTTGTTTCTCATATAATTCTGGTGTGAGAAGTTCAGGATGGTACAGCAGCTCTACAATGTCTTAAATATTCTGGGCTCCATCCAGATTTCTCTTTCATCATTTTAGTATGTAGTTTTCATCTTTTTGGTTATGAAGTATGGTTTCTTTATCTCTTGCCTCACATCTACACTCCAGGGGAGGAAATGGCCCTACCCCTTCTTGTCATTTTTTTTTTTTTTTTTTAAGACGGAGTTTCGCTCTTGTTACCCAGGCTGGAGTGCAATGGCGCAATCTCGGCTCACCGCAACCTCTGCCTCCTGGGTTCAGGCAATTCTCCTGCCTCAGCCTCCTGAGTAGCTGGGATTACAGGCACGTGCTACCATGCCCAGTTAATTTTTTGTATTTTTAGTAGAGACGGGGTTTCACCATGTTGACCAGGATGGTCTCGATCTCTTGACCTCGTGATCCACCCACCTCGGCCTCCCAAAGTGCTGGGATTACAGGCTTGAGCCACCGCGCCCGGCCCTCCCTTCTTGACATTTATATCTGGAGAGCAGAGCTTTTTAAGAAACCCTCAACTTGTATCTCATTGGCCAGAATTATGACATATGACCAGCCATAATTGTAAAGAATGCTCGAAAATGTAGCTAGGCACGTTGCCACTCCAAACAAAAGTGGGTTTCTATTTTTAAAGGGGGAGGCTAGATATTGAGTAGGCAGCCAGCAGTCTACTATAAAAGGTTTAGAATACTAACCTGTACCACTGCTAGCTGTGTTATAGCCTCGCATTTTTTGCTGGTATGATACTTGGGGTGGGGGTGTGGGGAGTGGGTTGGGGATTGCTTTAATAGAAGTGTCAATTGTTTTAATTTACATTTTCTCATAACTAGTGGCTGAGCATACATTCTACTCATACAGAACAAAATTATTGAGAACTAGAAAATATTTAAAAGAATGTGGCCAGGCACAGTGGCTCACACGTGTTATCCCAGCACTTTAAGAGGCCAGGGCAGGTGCATCATGAGGTCAGGAGTTCAAGACCAGCCTGGCTAACATTGTGAAACCCCATCTCTACTAAAAATACAAAAATTAGATGGGCATGCCTGTAATTCAGGCATTCAGGAGGCTGAGGCAGGAGAGTTGCTTGAACCTGGGAAGTGGAGGTTGCAGTGAGCCAAGATCACACCACTGCACTCCAGCATGGGTGACAGAGCAAAACTCTGTCTCAGGAAAAAAAAAAAAAAAAAAAAGAAGGAATTTTGTATGTAAAAAACTTTGGCCAAGCTTGGTAGCTCATGCCTGTAATCCCAGCACTTTGAGAGCCCGGCCAAATGGATCACCTGAGGTCAGGAGTTCAAGACGGGTGAAACCCCATCTCTATTAAAGATACAAAAAAATCAGCCAGGCATAGTGGCAGACACCTGTAATCCCAGCTACTTGGGAGGCTGAGGCAGGAGAATCACTTGAACCCAGGAGGCAGAGATTGCAGTGAGCCGAGATCATGCCACTGCACTCTAGCCTGGACAACACAGCAAGACTTAAAAAAAAAAAAAGTCAATGCAGTTATACCTCTACTAGCAAGCTAGAGGATCTCTAATAGTTTAAGAAACCATTTTTATAATGACTTACCTTGGCATAAAGCTATTTTTCAGGACGGTAGAGACAAACAGAAATAAACATTTTATTTATTTATTTTTAATTTTTTTTTGAGATGGAGTCTTGCTCTGTTGCCCGGGCTGGAGTATAGTGGTGTGATCAAGATCACACTGTACCCTCTGCCTCCCGAGTAGCTGGGATTACAGACACTTATCACCACGAGCTAATTTTTGTATTTTTAGTAGAGACAGGGTTTTGCCATGTTGGCCAGGCTGGTCTTGAACTCCTTACCTCAGGTGATCCTCCCACCTCAGCCTCCCAACATGCTCATGTTACAAGCTTGAGCCACTGTGCCTGACCAGAAATATTTTAAACTAGAGAAACAGATATTTTAAACCAAAAGGTCTTTACCAGGTGCACCTGTTGACTTCCTGTAGCTTCAGGGCTATCACCTACCCCCACCCAGCTCCCAGCCTCAGGCACTGTATTAATCACACTGCTGATAAAGAAATACCAGAGACTGGGCAATTTATAAAAGAAAGAGGTTTAATTGGATTTACAGTTCTATGTGGCTAGGGAAGATCTCACAATCATGAAGGAGGGTGAAAGGCCCTTCTTAAATGGTATCAGCAAGAGAGATTGAAGAAGGGCTGATCCACCCACCTTGGCCTCCCAAAGTGGTGGGATTACACTATGCCTGTAATCCCACCACTTTGGGAGGCCAAGGTGGGTGGATCACCTGAGGTTAGGAGTTTGAGACCAGCCTGACCAATATGGTGAAGCCTCTACTAAAAATACAAAAAAATTAGCCAGGCATGGTGGTGCATGCCTGTAATTCCAGCTGTTCGGGAGGCTGAGGCAGGAGAGGTGTTTGAACCTGGGAGGCAGAGATTGCAGCGAGCCAAGATAGTGCCATTGCACTCCAGCCTGGGTGACAAGAGCAAAAATCAGTCTCAAAAAGAAAAAAAAAGAATAAGGAAGAAGCAAAAGCGAAAACTCCTGATAAACCCTTTAGATCTCTTGAGACTTATTCACTAACATGAGAATAGCATGGGAAAGAAAGACCTCCATGATTCAATTACCTGCCCCTGGGTCCCTCCCACAACACATGGTAATTCTAGGAAATACAGTTCAAGTTGAGATTTGGTTAAGGATACAGTCAAACCATATTATTCTACTCCCCGGCCCCTCCAAATCTCATGTCCTCACATTTCAAAACCAATCATGCCTTCCCAGCAGTCCTCCAAAATCTTAACTCATTTTGGCATTAACCCATAAGTCCACAGTCCAAAGTCTCATCTGAGACAAGGCAAATCTCTTCCCTCTACGAGCCTGTAAAATCAAAAACAAGTTAGTTACTTAGTCCTAGATACAATGGGGGTACAAGCATTGGGTAAACACAGCCATTCCAAATGGGAGACATTGGCCAAAACAAAGGGCCCATTCAAGTCCAAAATCCA